GAGTCCCAGACTAGAGGTCAGAGATGCCTGGTGGTACCTGTGGTGCCCTCAGCTGAGAGGGGCCCCAGGCGCTTCCCTTCATGGAGGCCATAGAGGAGGAACCTGTAGGGGGTGCTGGGCTCCAGGCCTGAGATGAGGATCTTGCTCTGGTCACCGTCCACGAGCAAGGCCTGGGGCTGCCCGTTCGTGTCCTCATACTGGACCACGAAGGAATCAAAGGGGCCCTGGGCCACGCTCCACGAGAGGCGCATGGAGTCTGGGGCTGTGTCGGTCACGGCCAGCACCCCTAGGCGGGGCTCTTCAGGAGGCTCAGGGGCCTCTGGGGCTAACTCTGGGGCTGGCGTGTCCTCTTCTGGGGCTGCGTGGGAAAAGCCCAGGGCAGAATCTGAGTGAGGGGTGCCGTGGGGCCCTCCGTTTTTATCTTTCAGGCTTGGCCCAAGGCTGCGGTGGGAAGTTTACAGGTCCAGGCCCAGTCAGACCATGAAGTCGCTGTGGCCTCGTGACTCCCGCGAGCTCCCCGGCTGTCGGAGTCAGGTGCTCGCTTCCCCCTTCCACACCCCAGTGTCCTACCGAGCCCACCCTGAGCTATCACAGGCTCCGCCCCCACCCACGCCGGGACACATTCACTGAGCTTGGGGAGTGTGGTGCTCCCTTCTGAGAGAAGCTGAGGGTGGAACTGGCTGGTAAAGGTGACTGGCAAATCCTGCCAGCCATGCCTTGGTCAGGCCTGTCTGACGTGGGCATCAGTGAGCACTGGAAGCGGAGCCTGTAGCACAAATGCAGCCACTTCTGTTGGATTCTGTGTCCCTGCTCATTTTGTTTTCCAGTGATTTTCCTCTTAAGAAAATGCTCCTGACTCATCCATGGCAGGGAGGTTTGCCACTCTCTGGACAAGGCCACCCTTCGGGGAGGCGACAGCTGCCCCAGTGAGTAATCAGGAGCAGTGGCAGTGATGGGGCAGAGATGGAGCTGGGAGATGAGGGAGCCCCTGCCAGGGCCTTTCCCTCCCACCTGGCCTGGCTCCTGCTCTGGACTCCTTGATGGATATTGAAGCCCACAAGCCTGCAGACTCCTCCTCCTTCCTGGGGACAGTCCAGGGTGCCCCACTCCCACCTGCCCACTCCTGCAGTCATCTTTGTCTTCAGCCCAAATGCACAAGGAAACCCACACAAGGTGGCTTGCTATAGCCAAGCACAGCAGCCTCACCTGTCATTCCCAGGGCGGAGATCGGGCCCAGGCGCTTTCCCCCAACAAGCCCGTAGAGCAGAAATTTGTACTTCTTGCCAGGCTCCAGGTCCTCTATGGTGACCGTGTGCTGGTCTGCGGCCACAGGCACTGCCCTGGGCTGCCCGTCCGTGTCCCTGTACTGGACCACGAAGGATTCAAAGGGGCCCTGGGCTACCGTCCAGGACAGGTGCAGGGAGCTGGAGGTCTCCTCGGTCACGGTCAGTTCCCCTAGGCGGGGAGGTGGCTCCTTCTCCAGGGAAGCTGTGCAGAGGGAGGAGGGAAAGCTCTTAGTCACATGCTGCCTGTGCCTAAGCCCTGGCAGCTTCCTGGAGGTGTGAGGTTCTGGGAAAGGGTCCCTCCAGTGTAGCCCCAGGGACAGCTCCTTGAGGAGACACACAGGCTTGCTCCCGCCATGCCCCACAGCAATGAGGGAGAACAGCCCCCTCCTCCTCTGGAGGCCGCTGCCCAAACTCCATCCTGCCCTGCTCCTTCCCTACTGTGATCGAGGGTGCAGTAAATACATTAAAGATCATCTCCCGAGGGAGGGGTGGCTGGGGGTGCAGAGAGGGCCTGTGTTTACCCTGACCCCCGCCCCTGAGCAGGAATGAGGCCAGAGCTGAGAGAGACTCCCGGGAGGTCTTGGGTTGTCAGGGAGACATCCCAAACATCGAGAGCTGGTCTGGGCAGCTGGCCAACGCATGGCTCCCATCAGTGCCAGGCTGTGCCCTCTCCCTTGTCCCCTTGTGGCCATCAGCCTGAACATCCATGCCTCCTGCTTCCCCAGCCCCACACTGACCCCATGGGGCCGAACAGAGGGTGGGCAGAGGCTTGTCCGGGTGGGGCTGGCGCCGATGGGTGGGGGTGGAGAGAAAGTCTGTACCCCGTCCCCACAGTGAGAGTTTGGGAAGAGAATTCTGGAGTCCCAGGGACCAGGCCCCGACTGGCCGGCTGCTCTGTCCTCCTCTGGGCATAGTGACTCATGGTCCTGGGAGTAGGGCGAGGGTCAGTGACCCACCACACCCCTTCCTCGGGGGGCTGAGTCACGGGCACAGTGACACCAGGTTTTTCCATTGTCTTTCCGTAGCCAAGCTCTCCCTTTTTTTCCACCCCTGGCCTCCGAGTTAGGGAGGAGGGAGGAGGATGGGAACCACTACTGAGTCCAGCACCATTCCCAGCCATTATGCAGGTGAGGACACCGAGGTTCCGGGGATGAAGCGGATTGTCCATGGTCACCCTGGCAAGGGCTGGGACTGGAACTGGAACACAGATCTGCTGGCCCCAAAGCCCGTGTCCCTTTTATTTCCTCGGCAGTCAGCGAATGAAGGAAGTAATGCATCTTCTTCAGCACTGTGCCTGACACACACAGAGACTCACTTTCGGAGTTAAGATGGTTGTGTCAGGGCTGATAGAGGGAATCTCACAGGAAGGCCGTAGGGCCAGCTCTGAGGGCCTGAATGAGAGGCAGCTCTGGAAAAGGTGGAGGCTGGACTGGGACTCACCTGTGGTGCCGTCAGCAGAGATGGGGCCCATTCGCTTCCTGCCTGCCAGACCATACAGCAGGAACTTGTATTTCCTACTGGGCTCCAGGCCTGGGACTGTGACCTCCCGCTGGTCGGCTGCCACTGGCACAACCTGGAGCCGACCATCCTTATCTTTGTACTGGACCACGAAGGAGTCGAATTCGCCCTCAGGGACCGTCCACGAGAGGCCCACGGAGTCAGGGGTAGCATCTGTCACAGTCAGCTCCCCCAGGCGGGGAGACAGTTTCGTGTCTGGGGCTGGAAAAGACAGTGAGGTACATGGAGAGTCGGATGGAGGCAAAGGGGCCACGGAGCTTCCTGGGCTGCTATGGCTCTGTGAGCCGGTCCCAGGAACAGGAGGGTGACTGGGCCAGGAGTAGGGATAAAAGAGGAGCCAGACAAGAAAGCAAGTGTCCCCTGGGGTGCAGGGAAAGTAGGGAGAAGGATGAGTGTCAGAGGGAGAGGAGAGCTCAGGGCCTGGGTTTTCCCGGACCCAATAAATAATTGGGTGCTGAGGACTGGAGTGTGGGGCACAGAAACGTGAAATTCCAACTGGCGCCACAAGGGGGCGAACGCTCTGGCCGCGGGAGGCCTCCAGCCCTCACTCACCGGTCCTGGCCTCCACAGGGACTGGGCCGTGGCGTTTCCCATTCTGGAGTCCAAAGAGCAGGAACTTGTACTTGCGGGCCGGGTCCAGCCCTGAGACGGTGACCGCTCGGAGGTCTCCGCTCACAGGCACTGCCTGGGGCTGCCCCTGCGTGTCCCTGTACTGCACCAGGAAGGAGTCAAAGGGCCCCTGGGCTACGGTCCACGAGAGGCCCACTGAGTCCGAGGTCACGGCTGCCACCGTCAACTCCCCCAGGCGGGGCTCCACGGGCGGCGGTGTGGGCAGGGGCGCTGAAAAGAGCAGAGCAGGCCCATGGGTGAGAAGGCAGGACCCTGCCCAAGGGAGGCAGTGCTCTCCCGGGACTGGAGTGAGCATAGCGGCCTTCTCTACAGCGCGCTTGCTTTAGAATCTGTGCCCTGCATTGCTGTAAGCAGCTCACAAACAGCGGTGCACTTAACCCTTTGCAAAACATATGAAGTAGATGCCATTATTATCATCACCCCAACTCTGCAGGGATCTGAAGGTTAGGAAACGCCTGCAAAGTCGCACAATCACTACATTTGAAAGCACATGCATATCTGGGCAACTGAATCTGAAGCACTTTCTGAGCCACTAAAATACTCCTTAAGGGAGCCTAACAAATGAGCACGAGCAACCTGGAGGTTCCAGATCACGATGGGAGGAAGGAAGCTACAACAAAGAGGGCATGGACTACCTGCCCATCTGACTCCACACAGTCTCCACGAATCCAAGGATGAGGCAGGATCATTAGCAACATGGGAGAAAAGACAGAAACCTAGAGGCCCAGTCATAAGAGGTGCCAAGATCCAAAGGAGAAACACAAGGGGGCTACAGAGGTAAACCTGGGGACGAGGGCCTGTCCCCCAACTCACCCGTGACGCCCACAGTGGACACTGGGCCCACACGCCGCCCCTCGTAGAGGCCGTACAGGTGCATCTTGTACTTGCGCCCGGGCTCCAGGCCCCTCACAGTGACCTCGCTCTCCTCGCCCCCGACACGCACCACCTGGGGTTGCCCGTCCCTGTCCTTGTACTGCACGGTGAAGGAGTCGAAGCGGCCCTGGGGGACGGTCCAGGAGAGGCTCAGCGAGTCAGGGGAGGATCCTGTCACTGTCACCTCCCCCAGGAGTGGCTCCTCAGGGGGCTCCGGGGCCTCCGAGCTGGGTTCTGTGGGGCTGGGGGTCTCTTCCTCTGCAACTGAAAAGGAGAGAGAGAGAGTGAGGGGAATGTCCTTGGGTCCTGGGGAAAATGAGGGAGAAGCCAAGGCTATGACTGGGGGACCTGAGGTCAGTTCAGAGAGGCCCATTCTTGGGGCTGGGTGGTCCTGATCAGCTGACAGCTAACACACATGACAAGTTCCAGGGTCAGCTGTGGCGGACCTGGCACAGCCACCAGCACAGCAAAACTCCCGACGGCCCCTCTCCGCTCAGGAGGAGCCAGGGGTCAACCTCACAGGAAGGCCCAAGGGGAGCCCCAGCCCCAGCCACAAGCAGGTCTGTGGTGCTGACCAGACCCCTGTCACATTCCCCACCAGTCATCACCAAAGAGCAAGAGGGTGGCCCTCCCACAGCACCCACCCTGTGGCTCCCACTATGCACTCACCCGTCACCCCGATGACAGACATGGGACCCACGCGCTGGCCACCGTGGAAGCCGTACAGGTTCATCTTGTACTTGTGGTCTGGCTCCAGGCCTGAGATGGTGACCCCGTCCTCGTGCCCCGGCACCCTCACCGCCTTGGGCTGCCCGTCCCCATTCCTGTACTGGACCAGGAAGTGGTCAAACTGGCCCTCGGGGACCGTCCAGGACAGGCTGAGGGAATCGGGGGTGGCGTCAGTCACGGTCAGCTCCCCCAGGCGAGGCTTGATGGGGGACTCAGGGGTCGTGGTGGGCGCTGCTTGGGTGGTCTCGGCTTCATCCTCTGGAGCTGGACAGACAGGTATGGGGGCAGTGAGGTCCCTGGGTCCTCAGTTCAGCATAGAAAGGATGTGTCACAAAACACAAAGTGCCCGAGAGCAGGACGATGCTGCCCACAGCGCCTCCAGGAAAGCTCTTCTTGCTCTCCTCTCCTGTGGCCTTTCCTATCCCTCACCCTGACCCCCTGCCCTCAGCCCCCACCTCACCCCCACCTCCCAACACCCAGGCCACCTCTCCCTGTCCCTCCAGCACCGCCTCTCTTCTGAGCACAGCCCCACTCGGCCTCTGCACCCTCGGCCTCCCTGCGCTGGGGTCTCCTCGCCATCTTTTGTTCACTGGGCTTCTGTCTTTGCTCCCCAACAAACTCAGCACACCCCTCCCGAGGTCAGAGCTCGGGGCATGTTCCTGGACCTGGCCCCTCACCAGCTGCCAGCAGCCTCAGGGCATCTTTACCCTGAATTCCCCTGGATACCTTCCTCCCCCACCTCCAGTCCCCGGTCCTGGTTTGGGCCACTGTCACCTCTCACCAAGGCCACCAACTGCCTACTGGCCTCCCTGCCGCCAGGCTCCCTGTCACCCCATCCCCATCTTCAGCCCCCACGGATGAGCTTCACACAGGCACAGCTGCTGGGGCCATCTCAGCACAGACCTGAGCAACCACCTCCTCATCCCTGGGAAACCCCAGGCATGGTGAGCGGTCCCCTCCTCTGCTCCCACACTTCAGGACGATCCACCCACTGCAAAGGACACCCCACTCAATCCTCAGTGCCTCTCACGTGCTGTGCTTTCTAGCCTCCTGGCCTTTGCACCAGCTGTGATGATCTGACATGCTTCACCTCCTCTCTAAAGCTGTCACCAAGCTAAGGCCTGCCTGGCCTCAGGTCCTGGCTGTCCCCCAGGTACTTGTGGTCAGGGTGACTTCATTGTCCCTTCCCAATCCTGGCTTGGCCCCTGGGCTCCACATGCTCATCCTTCTTTGCTTACTTTCTGGTTTTCCGCTTATGCCCACAACTGTGAGGCCCATGAAAACATGAACTTGTGTGTGTCACTTTCCAGCTTCTGCCTATGAAAGCAAAAAGCAGCCCTGACACCCGTGAGCTGCCCTTTCCCTCAGCCAGGCCGCGATTGCTTGGGACTGGCCTGGCACAGTCTGGTCTTGGCGTGGTCCAGTTGAACACAGACAATTTCATGGAACATCAACATCAGACTAGGCCATTAGTCAGTAGGATGGATCAAGGCAAGAACAAGGCCAGTCTGTGATCATGTCTCAGTATAGACAAACTCTAACACTTTCCAAAGCACAAAAATAACCAAACATCACCCATCCAGCTAATCTGAGTGATAGTTGCTTCTTTACCAATGGCAGCTTTGGCCTTGCTCTAGTTGACCCCCGCAAAGATAAGACTTAGTGAGATGCCTAGTAACAGGGCTATCCCTTCTTCCTGACAGCATCTAATACAGAGCAAAACCTTGCTTCCTTAAACGCTTTCCCAAAATACCACCACAAGCCCAGTTCCTTAACAATCTCTTTCTAAAGCCTCTTCCTGAGTCACCCCACAGTCGTCCTGCACTGCACGGAGCATAACTCCATCCGTTCAATTTTTGGTGAGTTTCTGGAGGTCGTTGGCCAGAGGACATTGATACCCTAAAATTACAGTGCCTGGATCAGGGCATGGAATTCTTTGCTGAATGAACAGATTGGCCCATTGGAGGGAAAGGTCTGTTCCTATTCCTCTTCCAATGGTGGGCTTTCAGAGTGCACAGTCAACACGCTGCCCCTCACTGCCTTCTGTCTTCCTTCACGGCCCCCAGTCAACTCCACAGAGAAAGCACCCTACCAGGAATCAGGGACGCAGAAAAATTCTCTTCAACAGATTTCAAAAGAGGGTCCAATTCCTTGGTCGTGAGGAACTTTGCTACTCAAGGGGCGTGATCACGGGCCAGCAGCATCTGCATCATTTCTTGTTGGAAATGCAGAATCTCTGGCCCTAGCCTAAACCTGTTGAATCCCAATCTGCCTCTTAGCAAGATCCCCAAGCATGGAAACGTGCAAAAGAAGCCCGACTGGTGAGAATATTTTTGTTTTCATGAAGTTGCAGAGAAAGCAACATCTTCTAAGGCCATATTCCCCACCCTGCCTCACTCACAAACACTCACCTGTCACACCCACAGCAGACACCGGGCCCACGCGCCGCCCCTCGTGGAGGCCGTACAGGTGCATCTTGTACTTGCGCCCGGGCTCCAGGCCCCCCACGGTGACCTCGCTCTCCTCGCCCCCAACACGCACCACCTGGGGCCGCCCGTCCCTGTCCTTGTACTGCACGGTGAAGGAGTCGAAGTGGCCCTGGGGGACGGTCCAGGAGAGGCTCAGCGAGTCAGGGGAGGATCCTGTCACTGTCAGCTCCCCCAGGAGCGGCTCCTCAGGGGGCTCTGGGGCCTCTGTGCTGGGTTCTGTGGGGCTGGGGGTCTCTTCCTCTGCAGCTGAGAAAAGGAGATATAGAGAGGATGCCAGGTCCTTGGGTGATGTGCTCAGGTCTTCAGGGGAAGGAGGGAGAAACCACGGCCACTACTGGGTACGTGAGGTCATTTCAGAACAGCCCATTCTTGGGGCTGGGGGGTCCTGCTCAGCTGACAGCTAACACACATGACAAGTTCCAGGGTCAGCTGTGGCGGACCTGGGACAGCCACCAGCACAGCAAAACTCCCGATGGCTCCTCCCTGCTCAGGAGGAGCCAGGGGTCAACCTCACA